GGCTGCTGGCTTTCTTTCTGGTTTTTAAAATATATTTTTGAGTGGTGTCAGAGAAGAAGGGAAAGGAAGAGAGATAGAAACATCAATGATGAGAGAGAATCATTGATTGGTTGCCTCCTGCACACCCTCTACTAAGGATCAAGCCTGCAACCCAGGCATGTGCCCTTGACCGGAATCTAACTTGGGACTCTTCAGTCTGCAGGCCAATGCTCTGTCCACTGAGCCAAACCGTCTAGGGCTATACGCTCATTGTTTGATTCTTGTATGTGCCCTGACTGGAGTTTGAACCCACAATCTTGGCGTGTCGGGAGGATACTAACCAACTGAACTACTACCTGGCCAGGGCCAGGTTTGGATGTTCATATGTCAATACTAGAGGCCCAGTGCACAAAATTCATGCACAAGTAGGGTCCTAGTGGCAGCCGGCTGCCAGCCTGGGCCTCCCTTTGTTCTGTGCTACCCCCTGGTGGTCAGCACTCGTCATAGCGAGCAATTGAACTCCTGGTCGGTCAAACTCCCGAGGGGACACTTTGCATATTAGGTTTTCATATACATAGATTACAGATAGAGAACTGCTCTTATTGGCTGCTTGTCATTTTGCTGCTAGTGACATCATGTTTTATTAACTATCTCCATACATTTGAGTCAGATCCCTTTGGCTGGCACTCTGATTTTGCTGGTCTTTATGTAGTAACTAGAGGCCTGGTGCACGAAATTCATGCACTGGGGGAGAGGGGGCGGTTCTCTCAGCCCGGCCTGTTCCCTCTCACAGTCCGGGAGCCCTTGGGGGATGTTTGACTTGCAGCTCCCTGTGGGGAGCATCTGTCCCCTGGTTGTCAGTGCACATCATAGCGACCAGTCATTTAACTGTTCAGTCTATTTGCATATTAGCCTTTTATTATATAGGATTGTGTCCATCTAGCTTCTAACAGTTAAGTACCACAGGCTGGTCTCCTTTGTGTCAGGGTCTTGTCATCTATCACCTTTGCTGTCAGTGTAACAACCTCTCCTATGGAGGAGAACAGCTATTAACTTCTTAATACTGGTGCCCCTTCTCACTAGCACATTCCTGATGATATCCTCTTGGCTATTCCAAGGAACATAATCTTTTGATGTGTTTTCTGACCACTTCAACAAGCCTACTTCCCCGAAACTTTCAATCCCTTTCACCACTGTCTGCCACTACAGTTTTGGCATTGCTACTTTATTTAACATGGACTATCACTTTTCTAGCTTTAAGGAACCATCCTAGTGGTAGTAAGTTCACACCAGATCTTGAAGTTTTTGACCAGGGTGTTAAATTCTGTATCTCCAGAGAATGATCAATCACCTCCCTTTTTAATCTTATACTAGAGACCCAGTGCATGAATTCATGCATGGGTGGGGTCCAGCTGGCCCAGCCCCAATTGGGGCAGATCAGGGCTGGGCCCGTGGGGAGGAGGAGATGGCAGGAGGTTGGCCGGCTGGCCCGCCCTGATCGGGGCTCGATCGGGGCTGGGCCGGCTTGCGGGAGGGGCTGGGGCAATTGGCCAGCAG